AAGTGGTTTTATTATAGGGATGGCAGTGTTGGTTCAGCATTGGAAGATCCACCCCCAAAAGTCATCATTCTAACAGAGGAAAGGAAAAAGCCATATGATCCTATCAGTAGCTGCCGAAAAATTATTGGACTAAATTCTACAACTGTTTATGGTAAAAGCTATCAGGAGACTAGAAGTAGAACAGAAACTTCTCAACGGATAAAAGACATGTACTCCATATGTCCTGCAAAAACTCCTTATATGAATGGAAAAGATACAATGCTTTCTCCCTAAGGTGGGAAACAAGGGCAGATATGTCTACTCTTCATCTGTCCATTAAACTTTTAAACATAGGCCCAAACCAAAATAGTCTGGCAATAAAAAGAAACAAATAGCATAGGACTGACAAGGTAGAAGTAGAATCTTTATACGTAGATGAAATGATCATCTACAGAGAAAATGCTAAGAAATCTCTAGGAGCCTCTAGAACTTGTGTTTGAATTTAGCAGGATTAGAAAACACAAGGTATATATAAAAATTCAGATCTATGTATACTTGCTAAAAATGAAGAATTGGATATTGAAATTTAAAAGTTATGTAGGAGTGGAAAGGACCTGGAAAAGTAAAAAGAAAAAAAAAAACAGTGTTGGAAGGCATTTATTACCTAATTTTAAGACTTCTTCTAAAGCTACAGTAATCAAGGCAATGTTGGCATAAGGAAAGATATATAGATCAATGGAATAAAACAGAGAATCTAGAAATAGAACCACACATATATGGTCTACTGCCAATCTTAATAAACCTTTTTTTTAAATTTCTAACCAGCAAGCAGGGACAAGCATTAGGACTACTTGCACAGCTAGCTGGAGGCTCCTGCTAACCTGTTGCCTATTTATCCAAACAGCTTGACCTTATAACAAGGTTGGGCTTTCTGTTTACAGGTCTTAGTGTCAGCTGCACTCCTTATCCCTGAGGCCCAGAAGATTACTCTCCACTGCTCCCCTACAGGTACGCTCTTCACACAACTTCTCCAACCTTCTCAGCCATTGTGCTTTAACCCTCCCCTCTCCAGCCCAAGTTCAAATGCTACACTCTCAGCTCTTACAACCCTCAGTTATCTTCTGCTGCTCATCTGCCCTAAACCCTGCCAACCTCTTCCCAGTACCTGACTCCCAAGCCTCCACCCCCCAACATGAGTGCACTGAGCTCCTTCATTTTACTCTCTCGATTCCATCACATAACCTTGGAACATATTCCAGGGGCCCCCAACTGCTTTCTTGATGGAAGTGCTTCAAAGACCACCCATTCCCTGGCAGGGTACACCATCATTGAAGGCTATCAGGATAGCCAGTCATCCTAACCTTCCTGAGAAGTAACTGAGGCAGCAGTCCTCCACACGGACAACTTCACAGCAGGCAATACTCATTGCACTTACTAGAGCTCTCACTCTTGAAAGAGATAAAACCATTAATATTTACACAGACTCCAACTACGTATATAATATCCTATACTCAAACACCCAAATCTGACATAAAAGGGGATTCCTTACTGCAAAACATACCCCTATACAAAATAGGTCCCTAACTCAAGACCTTCTAGAGGCAACTCTTCTACCCCACAGAGCTACAGTCATTCATTGCAAAGGCTATCAAAGACCTAACTCATGAGATAAACACCACAAACTTATCTTTTGTGGAAATATCGAGGCCGGTAGAAGCAGCCACCAAGCCTCTCTCCATTTCCTGCTTCCTGTTCCCTCTTATACATTCCTACTCACCCCAAGAAATAACTCTACTCAAAGAATAGGGGGCAAGGCCTGGGATTTAGCTCAGTGGTTCTGCTGCCTGCCTCAAAAGTGCAAGGTCCTGAGTTCAATCCCTGATACCAAAAAAAAAAAATGAACAGGGGGCAAGAAAAGAGGAACAGTGGTGGTTTCTCCATGAAAAATTAGTCCTTCCTGAAAGCTTGCAAAACAAATTCCTTTCATCTTTCCATGACAAGTTCCATGCCGGATCATTCTCCCTGCTCCAATTCCTAGAGATTCACTCACATACATCTCACCCCTACGTTTAGGACCTCTCTGCAAAAGACTATCACCTAGTGCTCCATATGCCAAACCACCAATCCCCAGAGCAATCTCAGACCACCGCCCTTCCCTGCCCATCAATTTCTGGGATCCCTCCCGGCACTGACTGGCAAATAGACTTTACTCACATGCCTCCAGTAAAAAAACAAAGATACCTCCTTGTCCTAGTTAACACTTTCTCAGGAGGCCTTTCCTACATCAAACAAAAGATCCTCCACAGCAGCACATATCCTACTCAATGAAATCATCCCCCGCTTCGGCTTCCCAACCTCCATTCAAACCAATAATGGACCTCAATTTACCTCACACATCACCCAACATGTAGCCTTCTCCCTAAATATAGCCTGGAAGTTCCATATCCCATTTTGACCCCAATCCTCAGGTAAGGTTGGAAAGCTTTCCAGTTAATCTCTCCCCAATTTAGCTGCATCCTTAAGAATTGGAAACTGTTTGACCCTCATGACTTGAAGAATAGGTGCCTAATAGTCTACCCACACATGGCTGAAGTCACTCAGGGAGTCTCACCAGCCCTGGGTATATAATATTGCCCACACTGTGGCTGCAGATTTCAGTCTTTGGGGAAAGTAGAGGGATCAATGGAATTCTTAAAACCCATCTCTGTTAATTAACCCATGAGACTGGGCTTCCCTGGACCACCTTCCTACCCATTTTCCTACTTAGGATAAGAAATTCCCCTCAGTGTTCAGGCCTCAGCCCCTTTGAGATATGGTACAGGAGCCTTTTTCTTACCAATGATTTCTTATTAGATCCAGAAGTGACTGGCCAGGTGAAACATCATCTCTCTCACTTCTAGAGGGGCCTCCAGGAAAACATAGAGGCCCAGCCCAGAGAGAACAAGCCCCCTCTTTTTAACCAGAAGACCTGATCCTAGTAAATTCTTTACCTACCTCCACTCCTTCTCTTGACCCAACATGGTAGGGACCCCATTCGGTAATTCTCTTCACCCTCTCATTAGCTCAAGTCCCCAGATACAATTCCTGGATCTACCACTCCTACCTATAACTGTGGTCAGTAGCCCAGGAAAACATCTCAGTGGAGAAAAACCACTGGCTAAATACTCCTATTAACTGCTAGAAAACTTACAATTCCTCTTTCAGAAAATGTCACCTTGGGCCGAGGATTTAGCTCAGTGGTTCTGCCGCCTGCCTCGCAAGCGCAAGGACCCAAGTTCGATCCCCGGTACCAAAAAAAAAAAAAGAAAGAAAATGTCACCTCCTTCTTCAAAAGATTGGTAATGCTCAATAAAGACAGACCCACCTCTGTTCTGGTTAAATCTCCAGCTAGGAATCCTCATTCTGACTTTCCTCTGGTTCTGTCTAACTTGTCGGCTTCCTGGGGAGTGGAAACACATTCACTGCCAAGCTAGATAACTATTTAGGTTTTCTCTCTCTAGTTAAAAATTAGCTCTGTCTGGGAATAGATCCCAAGACCCTAAGGCTGATCTCATGGTTTCATGTCTCTCTACCACTCTCCTACCATATCCAGTTTACCTTTGACTAGCTCTTTGACCTACAGTAGTACTCCATCCCCTCTAATTCTAACTCTCCAATAAATACTTTTATATTTCTTGTATAAGAACTATGGCTCCAAGGCACCTTCCAAGAGTTTTAATCTATCCAAACCTCAATCTTTTGTTTCTGTCTTTGTTTGGTAGTGTAAACTCACCAACCCAATCTACTATCCCAATTCCATCTGGGATAGAATACTTACATCACACTGTCAATTTTACCCATCACCTTCTCAACCAGTTCACCCCTACATTAACATTAAGTTGCTGGTTATGCCTCTCACCCTCTG